AATTTGTCTAAAGTTGTTGGAGCTTCTATAAAATCTTCGGACTTACGGGATCATTTTCTTGAAATACTTGGAACAGTAAGGATTGTTAAGCTAATGGAACTTACTATCGACTTATCAATGCTATCTGGATTTCTCAGAAATTCATTCAACTTTCCTGAAGTTTTTTGGACTTGTCAAAAGTTCTCTGGACTTCCCAGGAATTCTCAGAACTTGAAAGACTTTCTTAAATTCGCTGAACTTCCAGAAGTTCTCTGGACTTCCCTAAAATTCTCTGGACTTTCCAGAAGTTCTCTGGTTTTTCCTGAAATTCGCTGGACTATCCAGAAGATCTCTGGACTTCCCAGAAGTTCTCTGGACTTCCAGAGGTTATCTATTTCCCACAAGTTCTCAGTACTTTGCCCTAGCTGCACATTTGTCATTTAACTGTTGTGGTTACATGTATGCACCTTATTTCAGTCACAATCAAGTTGCAGCAACCTATTCTGATGGATGTGTGTTGCTTGGGTGCAGAAGTTCACTGAAGATCCCAGCAATTCTCTACTTTTCAGACGTTTTCAGTTCTCTGCACTTCCCAGAAGTTCTTTGTAAGTCCCAAAAATTATCTGGACTTCCCAGTAGTTCTCTGGGCTTCCCAGAAGTTTTCTGGACTTTCCAGAAGTTCTATGCACTTCCTAGAAGTTCTCTTTACTTCCCAAAAGTTCTCTGGACTTCCAAAAAGCTCTCTGGACTTCCAAAAAGTTCTCTTTACTTCCCAGAGGTTCTCTGAACTTCGTGAAGTTCTCTGGACTTCCCATAAGTTCAGTGGACTTTTCATAAGTTTGCTGGACTTCCCAGACGTTCTGTGGAGTTCCTAGAAGTTCTCTGAACTTCCCAGAAGTTCTTTGGGCTTCCCAGAAGTTCTATGGACTTCCAAAAAGTTCTCTGGACTTTCAAAAAGTTCTCTGGACTTCCCAGAATTTCCTTTCTTCCAGAAGTTATCTGGACTTCCATGAACTATTTTGCACTTCTCAGAAGTTCTCTGGACTTCTCAGAAACTCTCTGGACTTCCAAAAAGTTCTCTGGACTTCCCAGAAGTTCTCTGCTTCCCAGAAGTTCTCTACTTCCCAGAAGTTCTCTACTTCCCATAAGTTCTCTACTTCCCAGTTCTCTGGAAGTCCCAAACATTCTCTGAACTTTCCAGAAGTTCTCTAGGCTTTCCAGAAGTTTTGTAGACATTGCAGAAGTTTTCTGGACTTCTCAGAAGTTATTTTTACTTCCCACAAGTTCTCTGAACTTTGTGAAGTTCTCTGGACTTCCCTGAATTTCAGTGAACTTTCCAGAGGTTTTCTGGACTTCTCAGAAGTTCTCTGGACTTTCGAGACGTTCTATGGACTTCCCAGAAAATCTGGATTTCCCAGAAGTTCTCTGCACTTCCCCGAAGTTCTTTGTAAGTCCCAAAAATTATTTGGACTTCCCAGTAGTTCTCTGTGCTTCCCAGAAGTTTTCTGGACTTCCCATAAGTTCAGTGGACTGTTCAGAAGTTTTCTGGACTTCCCAGAAGTTCTCTGGACTTCCAAAAAGTTCTCTGGACTTCCAAAAAGTTCTCTGGACTTCCAAAAATTCTCTGGACTTCCCAGATGTTCTCTGCTTCTCAGAAATTCTCTACTTCCCAGAAGTTCCCTACTTCCGACTTCTCTGGAAGTCCCAAAAATTCTCTGGACTTTCCAGAAGTTCTCTAGGCTTCCCAGAAGTTTTGTGGACATTCCAGAAATTTTGTGGACATTCCATAAATTTTGTGGACTTCCCACAAGTTCTCAGGACTTTGCCTCTAGCAGCACATTTGTCATTTAACTGTTGTGGTTACTTGTATGCACCTTATTTCAGTTGCAATCAAGTTGCAGCAACCTATTTTGATTGATGTGTGTTACTTTGGTGCAGCAGTTCGCTGAAGATCCCAGCAATTATTTACTTTTCAGACGTTTTTCGCTCTTCTCACAAGTTTTCTGGACTTCCCAGAAGTTCTCTGCACTTCCCAAAAGTTCTTTGGAAGTCCCAAAAATTATCTGGACTTCCCAGATGTTCTCTGGGCTTCCCAGAAGTTTTCTGGACTTTGCAGAAGTTTTCTGGACTTTGCAAATGTTTTCTGGATTTCCCAGAAGTTCTCTGAACTTCGTGAAGTTTTCTGGACTTCCCATAAGTTTAATGGAGTTTCCAGAAGTTTTCTGGACTTCCCAGACGTTCTGTAGACTTTCCAGAAGTTCTTTGGGCTTCCCAGAAGTTTTCTGGACATATTACAAGTTCTCTGGACTTTCAAAAAGTTCTCTGGACTTTCAAAAAGTTCTCTAGACTTCCCAGAAGTTCTCTACTTCCCAGAAGTTTTCTGGACTTCCCAGAAGTTCTCTGCACTTTCCAGAAGTTCTCTGGACTTCCAAAAGTTCTCTGGGCTTCCCAGAAGTTCTCTGCTTCCCAGAAGTTCTCTGAATATCCCACTAATCTTCATAATTCTCTGCTTCCCACTTCCCAGAAGTTCGCTGAAGATCCCACCAATTATCTACTTTTCAGACGTTTTTCGCTCCAGAAGTTCAGTGGACTTTCGAGGGGTTTTCTGGACTTCCCAGAAGTTCTCTGAACTTTCCAGACGTTCTCTGGACTTCCCAGAAGTTTTTTTGACTTCCAAAAAGTTTTCTGGGCTTCCCAGAAGTTTTGTGGACATCCCAGAAGTTTTGTTTATTACCCAGAAGTTCTCTGGACTTCGTGAAGTTCTACGAACTTCCCAGAAATTATTTGGACCTCCCAGCAGTTCTCTGGACTCTATATGTTCTCAGCATTTCTCTTACGCTACAGTGATTTTCCTAATATTCATGAATCCTCACTGACGTTCCCGTCTTTTTTCTGGAATTCTCGTAACTTCCTTGTAGTTGCCTTAATTTTACAGGAATTCTCGGATCTTTTTTAAAGTTCTCTGGACTACTGTGAAATTCCCTAATATTTTCTGATTTTTTCATAAATTCTTTGAAGTTCTTTGGACTTCCCTGAAATTATCAGGACTTCTCTAAGGTAATCCAAATAATGTTCGCGGTTCCAAGATTGTCAGTGAAGTTCTGGATGTTTTATTTAAATTTATAGGAACAATTTCTCCAAGATCTTGCAACTACCCTGAAAGAATAGATAATAAAAATGAAGCTTCCGTGAAGTTATTGTAACCACCCTAAAGATCTGAACTATCCCTTCTTCTCTCTTCAAAATCTCTAGGCTTCCGTGAACTTTTCTGGACTTCCCTGTAGTTTTAAGAACTTGTCTCATGTCCTGGAAATCATCCTGGAATTTATGGAATATTCCTGAAAAATCTTAACACTTAACTTAACAAATAAGATTGCACAGAGAATCACATAGATGGCGCTTATCCATTAGCCTATCCAACTTCAAAGGACATGCAGAAAGTAAATTAGAAGTAAATCTAAATCTTGGACACTATTGTGGTTTCAAGCATGAAATTTGCTTCTCCTTGTTAGATCGCAGCAACCAATAAGTATGTTTTTTTTCTGGTAGGTGATCTTGTAAAGAATTGGCCCCCTAACAACGCTAAAATAAACATACCATCTCCAACATAGCTCAATAGTAAAAACAACCCTAAACATGACCACAACAACAACAACCAAGAAATCATCAAAATGGCACGACAATTTCTATACGGTTTAGAGGTGAAATAGTTGCGAATGGAGCGCCCTCCCAACCTTCCCCACCTACCCCCCCTTCCCCCGCACCAATAAATATAAATATCCATTAAGTATAAAATTTCTTTAATTAGTTAATTTATATAGGGGAAATGGATGTAATGTCGGCCTAAATGCCCCTAATTTGGGCCCATACATAAATTCAGCAATCGACTTAATTTTTAATAGCGTCCAAAAATATCCATTAGCACCGTCCCAATGACGCGTTCATCTAGATAAAATTGATAAATAGCAGATTTTTAGCGATGGTCCCAAGAAAAATGCTTTTGTCGTAGTCATGTTCCATTTATCAAAGCATTTTTTTCAACCGAAAAATTACAAAACTCCTGGAATAAATCGAGGAAAGACCAAAAAACTGAAATCGACATTTGTTTTGTATGGCTCTCACGAAAAAAAAAATGCTGATCAAACCGAGAATATACCTCACCATTGGTTACTAGGCTATTGAGAGGCCCCGATCCGAACACCTTCCGCATTTTCACCATTCCAAGTTGCTCTAATCTCTTCCATCGCACTGGAATTCACCCCGGTCAATGTGTCAACAGAGGCCCGCAGCTACCGCACGAAATACGACTTTCAATTGCAATATCTCCGCTCCGGCCTGTCTGGTTCGCAGTCAACGATCCCTGCGAGCAGACAAATTGCACCAGAACCAGACGAGGTCATATTCGGAGCAATTATGCACACCACCTCAGTCGCTCGATCAACCGACCGACGGCGATTGGGCTCTGGTGCAACCGTGTCGTCGAGAAAAAGATTAGACCTCACGATCAAACAACTATCAGCGCAACTCTGACTGCCCGAGTCGAATGCAATAGGTAGGTATACCTCTAGGTAGGTACGGTGGGTACTCGTTTGGAGATTTATTGCCTCACTTCCGCTCAGTGACCGCATTCGTGCCAGTAGCAGCAGCAGCAGGCCACGGGGATTTGACATTTTGCGCCTACTCTTTGATTCGGATACCTATAGCGAATTTCAGCACATGCAGCGTAATTTGGTCACCTCATTTACGGTGCTAAACGACGCGTCAACGGCACCTAGCGCCGTTGAATTATTCATGCGATGATCTAACTCAGAGCAGGAGGAGATTTGCATGTTGTCGGTTCCTAGTTTGTTTTTATTCCGACGACGACGACGACGACGACTACGGAAGAAAGCATCAACTCGGTTTTGGGGTAATTGAAATGTGGTTCAATTACCGAAAAAATAAGACTGCCTCAAAACAGCGGGGGTGTTTCATATAAAGACAAACGTATCGTTTCGATAGCTTATCAGTAGTTTGTGTTTCCTCAACCCGGGTAGAGAGTCCACTTGGCATTGTTTCAATATGATGTTCAGATTGGTGAGTTTTTTTGTTTGGCAAGCGGTTTACAGAAGTTGCAGGATTCTAGAATGTTGGTTTTCTTTTTCAGACGATTTTGGCTTGTCTGGCAATTAGCAGTGCCACAGCAGAGCCTGGTCTAGAACATGCCTCGTTCGGATATGGAGCACACATGTTCGGTGGGATCAACCCCGAACTGTACACCACAGCCAGAGCCATAGCACCGCTACAGTACGGATCCAGTGGGCCGATGGTGTATGCAGGTCAGCTGTATGCGAGTCCAATGCACAAAACCTTCAGACCAATGGGCAGTGCTCCGCTGCAGTACGCAGCCTCCCTACCGGTAAGCTACGCCGCTCCGGCTTCTCTAGCTTACAGCAGCCCGTATGCTTCCCATCCCCATGCTCATATGAGCTACGGAGGGCACACTTCGCTGGCAGCTAGCTATGCGGCTGCTGCTCCGCCTACGACTCCATTTCACAACCCATCCCAATACGCTTCGTACGCAGCCGCTCCTGTACACACCGGACACGTTCTGGGCTCCACCGGTGCATCCTCACCATCATCACTCGATTATGCCGCTGCTCTCGCCAACAGTCAAGCTTACGGAGGGAGTTCTGCCTATGCACAGCAGCAGCATTTTCAGCAACAATATCATCAGCAGCAGCAGCAGCAACAGCAACAGCATCAACAACAACATCAACAACAACAGTCCTACCAGCAACTTCTGGATGCCGCATATGGCCGGTCTGCCTCTGAGCTCTACAGTCGAGGAGTACCATTTGCATATCCCAGCCAGGTGGCGGCGAGTAGTGCGGGCCAGGAGGTTGCTCGCCAAGTGGCCGTTCAACTTTCTTCGGGTTACCACCAACAACCGGCGGCATCGGCTTTCGGGGAAGCACGCGCGCACGCTCGGTCAGATAGTCAGTAGGATCCGTTGGTTGGAGAAGTACCTGCACGTGGTCCACTACCACCGGAAGCACTAGCTGATGGCCTTGAAGAGAGCCAGAGTAGCGTTAGTCATGTGTCTATAATTATTTATTTTTACACTAAAATAAATCAATTTAAGTTATATTAGGGAATGTAATAAAGCATGTGTACAAATAAGTATCCTAAAAGTGGAAGAATCATACATTATTCAATACTGCGAAATATCCGAATCAGAATTTCAAGGTCGCTACAGTAGATTTCACTCACTCATGAGTTGTGGGCACATTTAGTGATGCAAAGGGCCAACCGTGTTCGTTGTTTTGCACTAAAAGTCGCTGCCGTTAGTTCGTAGTATTCGATTGCTATTTTCTTTGTTTATCGAGTTCGTTTATTTGGAAGGCTCAATCGCATTAGCTTTACGGAGCCGATAATTCATTGTTCACTGTTTGTAACAAAATTCACTTAATTCTATGTCTAGTAGTAGTTGGGCCGAATACTCGCGGCTTACTCGAGGTTAGAAGGGTGCATTGTCGAAGGATATGATCAGGGGAGGAGCTTAGGGGTGGGTTTTTGTTGTCTCAGAGCGTTGTCGCCAGTATGAATGGTAGGTCGGTTCTAGATTCGTCTGGAGTTCGACCGGCTATGGTGGGTGACCAGTGTAATTTTCTGTAACGGTTATAATTTTCGGGCTGCCATCATTGAAGACATGTTTATGAATGGACAGACTTGTCATTTTAATTGCAGACAATGACAAATTTTTGGGTAGTTCTAAAAGATTTGCTAATACCTAAACCTTTTTTTCCAATTTGAATGATGTATACTTTAATCATTAGTTTAGTTATATAGTTATATTTTAACAATCTTATTCGAAAGATCTGTTGAATATCTGACTGGCATCACTATAAATTAGTTTCATGTAAGTCAGGCAAATTTTTGTTTTCCTTGACCTGTTTTCCATCGAGCTTGTTTTCCGTACTGAGTGCCAATGCTACTGACGCCAGTGAGGCAGCTCTCACACCTGGACCCTACTTATCGATTCATCAATTCATGGACCGGGGTCCAACGGTTTTACTTTTCACACAATCATACTTATGCAAAAATGGAACAGGCATCGAAAGCTGTCAGTTAATAACTATGGAAATGCATCTAGAACACTAAGTTGAGAGCAGGCAATGTTAGCGATATGCAATAAGCTTGAAATGCAAATAAGAAGAAGGAAGATATGTGTCCCCAATAAAGAAACAACAACAACAACAACTTATTTAAGTCGAAGTTTAAGTTAAGATGAAAATCTCCTCGATGATGAGATATCTTTAGATTCATTTTCTTCAGCCTTCGGTCAGGATGGGTTTTTATTTTTTCAGTCCTTCGATGATGGAAAGTCTTTGGTTGTATACTATAATGATTTAATTTTTCAGCCGTCGTTCTTTATGATATTTTGAATTAAGTTATTTAAGTTTATTATCAGCTCGACGATGGTCGAACCAAAGAGGTACCTCTAAAACCAGAAGGTCCCGAAGAAACGTGCTCAACTGTTTGGCTCTACTCTGGTACACTCTTCGGTCCCAAGCTAATCGATACACCCCTAGAAACATAGGAAAATCCACGAACCCCTCATTTTATCTGTCAAATTTTCATAGCGAATCAGTGGAACCTCTTTAGATTCAGTTTTTTTTTCAACCTTCGTCCAGGTTGAGTTTATTGATTAAAATTTATTTTCAGCCCTGCGATGATGGGAAATCTTTAGATTTCTAATCACCCGTATTCTCGTTTTCGTTCTAGCCGTGTTTAATTGCGTTTATCTCTTTAATTGAGGCTTTAATCTCAATTCGAGGGGTTGGGGGGGGGGGGTTGAAATCTTTAATCGCGTTTATCTCTAAATCGCGATTTGAGGGTTGTTCAGGAATTCGAAATCTTGAATCACATTTATCTTTTTAGTTAAGGCCTAAATCACGGTTTTTAAATCGAGTAGAAGAGTGGAAGTTTTTGTGCTTGATTTTTTTTTAAAATCTTGGCTTTTATTCAATATGTATACATATTTTTAAGCGGTGAACTGGGAAGAGCGAATGATTTTAAGCTTAAGAAACATATAGGGCGGAATCTTTACCAAATAACGTCTCAAAAGTTAATTGAGGAGCTCGGCTAGCTTGATGGCTGTCACTTTTGCTAACTGAATAGAACGTTCGTTTAAGACGTGTTGATCGGAAATCTCAAATCCTTCTCAAGATCAGTTATTGTCGTCGTCTGTGAGATCGCCGCCGGGACCGAAATATTGTAACAGCAAGTTGAACGGGAACTCGTAATTTATTTGTGATATAAGGGGCTCGGTGACTTAGTGGCAACGGATTTTGCTTGTTGAGCAGAAAATTATGGGTTCAATCTCAAACCGCTTCACATTATAGAGTTTTAGTGTGAATCGTATTTATTCTTAATATGCGACACAGCGTTCGGTTGGAGGAACGAGTACATAACATAAATAATATTCGAGTTTGAAGACGTGTTGATCGGAAATCTATAACATATCCTTCTCAAAAGTAGTTTTTATCGGAGTAACAGCGCCCCGTAACGTGGCTGGTAAACGGCTGGACAATGCGTACCATTGATACTTCCCGTATCTGCAGGTATAAAATAGACCCCACTAGCGGTCCTTAGCCTCTTGTCAAGTTACTCCTATCCCTACCTCACCGCGGTGCCTACTGGGGTACGAGTAACCATAGGGAAGATCGGGTAACCAACCCTGGTGGGATCTTGGTCGTATGCTGACAGGGAAGGGGACTCATCTCTCCGGAGAGTGCAATCTTCGAGCGTCTGTTCATCATGGAGGTGTGGCTCAAAACGAAGTCTGTTCTCCATGTTAGGAGCGGCTGATCAACGTCCTGGTGCCAACAGAAACGGACTAACGATTAGAAACTCGGAACATGGAACTGCAAGTCTCTCAATGTCTTGCAAAGTACCCGCATTATTTCGGATTTATTGAGTGGTGGCCAATCGATAGCAGGGTGCAGGGATAGCAGAGCGTAATTGGGTGGTGGCCAATCGATAGCAGAATGTGCAAATTGAGGATAAAAGGCCGTTTCTTCAATGTCAGCATAATCAACCTGCACAGCCCTCACGTAGCAAGTGACAATGACGATAAAGACTCTTTTTACGCGCAGCTGGAACGGGAATACGACAGCTGCCCAAGCCATGACGTCAAAATCGTCATCGGTGATCTTAACGCTCAGGTCGGCCAGGAGGAGCAATTCAGACCGGTTATAGTAAAGTTCAGCGCTCACCAGCTAACGAACGCCAACGGCCTTAGACTCATCGATTTCGCCGCCTCTAAGAACATGGCCATACGTAGTACCTACTTTCAGCATAGCCTCCCATATCGGTACACCTGGAGATCACCGCAGCGGACAGAATCGCAAATCGACCACGTTTAGATCGACGGAAGGCACTTCTCGGACATTATCGACGTCAGGACCTATCGCGGCGCGAATATCGATTCGAACCACTACCTTCTAATGGTCAAGGTGCGCCAAAAACTTTCCGTTGCCAACAGGGCAAAATCAGAAATCAATTGATATTTTTCCGCTCTCATGCGCTCGCAATATTGGAACAAAATATCATGCTTGTTATTGATTTTACAAGCTCCTTTGATATTGCGAGACTAGTCAAAACATGCAAAAATCAAGCTGAGAGTTGACTCGACACAAAAATGATTCCATTCCACATCGTTTTCTTAGAAAGAGAAAGCATAGTTTGCTATCTCTTTTTAATCTTCACCGATGGCAGACGCGAAGGGACTGCTGCAAGCCGTTATGGAAGATTTGGTTGCATTCGGGTGTAAAGCAAAAATCATTAAAGTCAATCTCACCACAGTTTGGTGAGATTTGCAGTTGGTGAGTTTTGTTAGCTTGATATTCCGAGCTGCGATATCGCAGCTTGCAAAATCAACCGCAGTTGTTTGATTGTTGATTTTTGCTTACGAAAATCAAGCGTGATCTTAGGCGTTGGTGAGCTTTGATTTTTTTTTTTTTAATATTTTCCCAACACTGGTTGCCAACAACATTCGGTACCGACGCCCGCCACGGTACAATCTGCAGTGACTGAAGCTGCCCGAAGTCGCAACTGAGTACGTGCAATGAGGACTGCTCTCTTGAGGACTGCTGGAGCAACGTGAAAGCAGTCATTAAGAGCGCTGCTGAAGGCGCCGTTGGGTTCGTGAAGCGGAATCGACGGAAGACGAAGAGTGTCAGACGGTTTTGGACGAGAAGAACGCAGTGCGGGCGGTGATGCTGCAGCATGGAACCCGTCATAATGTGGAGCGATATAAACAGAAGCGAAGACAGAAAACCCATCTTTTCCGGGATAAGAAACGCCGCCTGGAAGAGCTGGAGTGCGAAGAAATGGAGCAGCTGTATCGTTCTCAAGAAACACGCAAGTTTTACAAGAAACTCAACGCATCCCACCAAGGCTTTGTGCCGCGAGCCGAAATGTGCCGGGATAAGGAAGGGGGTATCTTAACGGATGAACGTGAGGTGATTGAAAGGTGGAAGCAGCACTACGATGAACATCTGAACGGCGCAGAGGCGGAGGACCAAGGCGCCAGTAGGAATGGCTTCGTCGATACAGCGGATGAGGGAGACATGCCAGCTCCCACGATAGGTGAAGTTTAGGATGCTATCCGACAGCTTAAGAACAACAAAGCAGCTGGGAAAGATGGTATCGGAGCGGATCTTATCAAAATGGACCCGGATAAGTTGGCCACTTGTCTGCACCGACTGATAGTCACGATCTGGGATACAGAACAGCTACCGGAGGAGTGGAAAGAGGGAGTAATATGTGCCTAGTATATAAAAAAGGCAACAAACTAGAATGTGAGAACTATCGAGCGATCAATATTCTTAACGCGGCCTTTGTTGATAAGCGGACAATGGACCAAATCTTTACGTTGCGGCAGATCCTCCAAAAGTGTCGTGAATATCAAGTCCCTACGCACCACCTATTCATCGATTTCAATGCCGCTTATGATTTTCCCGGGAAGCTGACCAGACTGATCAGGGCTACGATGAATGGTGTACAGTGCTGCGTGAAGATATCGGGTGCGTTATCGAACTCGTTTGAAACTCGCAAAGGACTTCGACAAGGCGATGGTCTTTCCTGCCTCCTGTTCAACATTGCG